GCAAACGCGTGCACATGAGCCCACACACGGATCTGCATATATTGGGTGACTATATATATATCGACGTCCACCATCAATTGATGTCGACTTTGGCATTATTGACTCTGTTCTGCCTGGGCGAAAGAATATGAGGATGGCCCCTCGCGCTATGCTTTTATGCCAGTTGAGCACGGTAGCTTATGACTGGTAACTACCACTCTCTGTTGTGTCGATGCTGTTCAGGGTTGCTGGAGTGTCCTCTCCAGTGGTGTGAGACAGCAGTTATTTTGTATAGGGTGAGCTCCCATACCCCTTGACCACACATGGACTGAACAACAAAGCAGCAGACAGGCACCACTATCGTATCCAAGTAAAAATAATTCCAATATTTTCTAAATATGTTGATTAATCTAAATTATGATGTACTTCTAACAACGCTAACATGGGCATGGTTGATTATTTATTTATTAATCTACTTAGTGTACCTGTTTTGCGCATTTAGAATAGATTAAGGGATAAGATAGCCTCGTCAGCTTATAAATAGGTCCATAGTAAAACAAGCACCAGTGTTTGCACCGGAACAATTCCCGCTTGATCAGCAAGCACCAGTCTTTGTACCAGAACAGTTCCCGCTTGATCAGCAAGCACCAGTGTTTGCACCGGAACAAGTCCCGCTTGTACAGCCTGCTTTGTCTTCAGCTGCACAAGTGATTGCTGAACTGCAAGAGTTCCTAGCACAAAAGGGAATGGGAGAAATGGTACAAGAAGGTCTTGACAGAATTGAAGAGCTTCCTGTGGACATTCCAACTGAACTGATCAATAAGCTTAATAAGCTGCCCATTGAGCAACTGGACAAGATACCTCTGGAAAAGCTCCCTCTAGAAAAACTGGAGAACCTTCCTTTGGATAAGCTCCCTCTAGAAAAACTAGAGAAGTTTCCTTTATCTAAGCTCCCAATGGAGAAAATTCCTGGAAGATTCTTTGGGCGAGGTCGTAAGAGTTCTACTGAGGATAAGGCAGAGTCTCTCCCACTTGATCAGCAAGCACCAGCGTTTGCACCAGAACAGCTCCCACTTGGTGGGCAAGCACCAGTGTTCGCACCTGGATAGCTCCCACTTGAGCAAGAACCAGTGTTCGCACCTGTACAGCTCCCACTTGAGCAAGAACCAGTGTTCGCACCTGGACAGCTCCCACTTGAGCAAGAACCAGTGTTCGCACCTGGACAGCTCCCACTTGAGCAAGAACCAGTGTTCGCACCTGGACAGCTCCCACTTGAGGAAGAACCAGTGTTTGCACCTGGACAGCTCCCACTTGAGCAAGAACCAGTGTTCGCACCTGGACAGCTCCCACTTGAGCAAGAACCAGTGATCGCATCTGGACAGCTCCCACTTGAGCAAGAACCAGCATTCGCATCAGAACAGCTCCCACTTGATGAGCAAGAACCAGTGTTCGCACCAGAACAGCTCCCACTTGATGAGCAAGAACCAGCGTTCGCACCGGAACAGCTCCCACTTGATGAGCAAGATCCAGTGTTCGCACCAGAACAGCTCCCACTTGATGAGCAAGAACCAGCGTTCGCACCGGAACAGCTCCCACTTGATGAGCAAGATCCAGTGTTCGCACCAGAACAGCTCCCACTTGATGAGCAAGAACCAGCGTTCGCACCGGAACAGCTCCCACTTGATGAGCAAGATCCAGTGTTCGCACCAGAACAGCTCCCACTTGATGAGCAAGAACCAGCGTTCGCACCGGAACAGCTCCCACTTGATGAGCAAGATCCAGTGTTCGCACCGGAACAGCTCCCACTTGATGAGCAAGATCCAGTGTTTGCACCGGAACAGCTCCCACTTGATGAGCAAGAACCAGTGTTTGCACCGGAACAGCTCCCACTTGATGAGCAAGATCCAGTGTTCGCACCGGAACAGCTCCCACTTGATGAGCAAGATCCAGTGTTCGCACCAGGACAGCTACCACTTGGGCAAGAACCAGTGTTTGCACCAGAAGAGCTTGCGCTTGATGAGCAAGAACCAGTGTTCGCACCGGAACAGCTCCCACTTGATGAGCAAGAACCAGTGTTCGCACCGGAACAGCTCCCACTTGATGAGCAAGAACCAGTGTTTGCACCGGAACAGCTCCCACTTGATGAGCAAGAACCAGTGTTCGTAGTGGAAGAGCTTGCGCTTGATGAGCAAGAATCAGTGTTCGTACCAGTAGAGCTCCCACTTGATGAGCAAGAATCGGCGTTCGTACCGGAAGAGCTCCCACTTGATGAGCAAGAATCAGCGTTCGTACCGGAAGAGCTCCCACTTGATGAGCAAGAATCGGCGTTCGTACCGGAAGAGCTCCCACTTGATGAGCAAGAATCGGCGTTCGTACCAGAAGAGCTCCCACTTGATGAGCAAGAATCGGCGTTCGTACCAGAAGAGCTCCCACTTGATGAGCAAGAATCGCGTTTCGTACCAGAAGAGCTCCCACTTGATGAGCAAGAATCGGCGTTTCGTACCAGAAGAGCTCCCACTTG